AAATTTTCTGGGCAGGGACATTTTCTTCATTTTAGGGGTGGTCTGCTTCTGTTGAAAATTTCTCAAAAATTCATTGGTCAACCCCCCGAAAATTGAAAGGAAAATGAAAGGGGACATGTCGATCATCGTATTTCTGTGCAGCCTGGACACCTGAGAGATGAGAGTATTTTTAAAATTATTGCAAAGTGTGGGGATTTATCATTGCAGTCTATGGGAATTTATTTGTAGTGGTGCACCCCCAAGGTGTTTTTTGTTCTGTAGCATTTTGAGAGGTCAGGACACAAGACCATGGAATGGCGTGTCTGTAGGGCTTAAACTACTGCACCTAGGCGCGAATTTGCAGATGTTGAAAAACTTTCGGCTCGAGAGAATTTCGCTTCTTTTTGTGACGTCAAATTTGCTTTGCTTTCACATGTTCCATTTCAGACAACCACGAGTCTATTTGTTTCTGAAAGTAAAAAAGAAAAGAAAAAAAGCCCCCCACTTTCCCCTTTGGGGTTTTCATTCTGGATTTCGTTTTAACTTCAGCTGCAGTAGTCAAGTCGATAAAGCCATTTCGAGGGCTTCTGAAATAAACTGCGACAAAACTTTCCTTGATCATGGCTCATCTCAATTTAATTGCAAAACAAAACAAAACAAAACAAAACAAAAAGTAGTTGGGAGTGAGCACAGAACGCAGACGATGCACCCTTTGCGATACTTGGCGGCTTAAACACCATAATGCAACAGCCACACCAGTAAATATTCCTCTGTAGCCAAAGGGAACTCGCTACCTCGATTTTTGTCGCATTTAGCTGGCTGAGTGTGCATCCGAGTATTGAAATGCATGTTTATGTGCATGTTATTCTTTTAAACACAATCATGACTTTCTACTTTCATTTGTTTCATAATCAGAAAGTAAGACCAAAACATACTTCTCAAATACCGACAGAAGTGAGTTTTATTGTTCATTTTCCTTCCAATCACTGTTGAACGGGAAAGGAACGCGGCGGACCTGCTGTTCCAGTAGCTTTGCACAGCGCCAAAGTGAATTTTTTCAATGGCGACAGGACGGTGCGACGTGATCACGACGTGACGAACGACGCGACGCATATACACGACGGTGTTGTAGACGACGCACAACGGTGGAACACGCGCCACAGGCGACAGGAGGATCGACGATTGGATTTCACAAAAAATGGGTAGGACGAAGTGACCTACTGCACGACACAATAGCAAGGCGCAGCAGACGGTCGTGCCGCCGCTGAAGACGTGTTGTGTTGAAGAAGCAAAGGCAGGATTTTTTTGCGCTGTGTTTTAATTCTTGTAACAATCTTAGGGCACCGCTAGAGGGGGTGGGGTGTCATCATTCATTGGATAATTTGTAGGCAAAATTATGGTGCTGCCGGCAAGAATGGAGAAGGGAGGAGAAAGGACGGGGGGTCACGTAAGCGTCAGATTGAGGAGTAAGACCAAAACTACACTCATCAAATTTGCCGACGGTCCGTCGGCAACTTTCATGGTGGTACCTCCCATTTAAAATGGTCTCGCAACGCACGTGTTAGCAGCAGTGATTATACCTAACTTTCAATCCAGTAAAAGACAATAACTCCAGAGGGGAATCCTCCGATCAAAATATCAAGAGAAAATCAGTAACATTTCTTGTCACTTCGGGACTTCCTTGGCAATTACAGTTGGCCCATAAAGAGCGTCAAATCTGAATACTTGTTCTGATCATAATTAATGCACTTTAGTTAAAAAAAAAGTACCACTTGTGGAAATTCAAACATGATAAGGGCCAGATTGGAGTCGGGCGTGATGACAAAATTCAAGATGTTCAATGCTCTCCTTCCTTTTTGCACAACTGTCCCCTCAATGACCTTTACCGTTGTTTTCTGCCTGTCATTCTTCGGACTAAACAGTATAGGGATAGTTTTTTTCGAAGTGTGTTTTACGGCCTTTGACAAATCAATTTTAGGACAGGTAGAACTATCCATAATGTTGTTAGCGTGTGTCTGTTTCACACTTGCAAAGGGTCTTTAATAGCCTGAACTTCGGCGTATTTGCAACGTGTAATTTGACACATTTTTTCAAATCGGATTCATGCATAATGCAAAAGTAGTCCGAGTAACTTGGATTCTACTATTGTCCGACAATGTCTAGATGTTTAAGAAAGGCCGCCCCTTTCCTACCTCAATGCTCGGATTAATGCAAAACGCAATGTATACGGCAGAAATACTTTTAATGGCTGAGTTC